AACTTATTCCTGACAAGTAATTTAAAATATTTATAAAGTCAGTATGCATGTGTCTTTATATGGTTATGTAATCTCTCCAGTGTGCACTGAGTGTATAACAGAATTACCTGCCATTCTACAAAAAAAAAATGCTTTGTGGGTTAAATTAGGATAGTTCATTACAGATCCTTCAACATTAGCCTTAGCCGTGAGTCCACAGACTAGCAATTATCTCCATTCAAAATGCATGTTGCAAAATATAAACTGTTAAACAAATAGCCTATCACCCTGGAATAGGGATCAAAATGGAGAGACCACAAAAGACCTTAAGACTAGATAGCAAACTGAATTAGCCTCCGATACAATATGAACAGTTGACTCTCAGACCTCTATCAGTGCTAAGACCTTGTCCTATGTTATTTCAGATTTATCTTCAGGAGCAGTACAAATTTGAGACAATTGTGAACTAGCCATTATCCTAGGGTCATTAGACTCATGAATGGAGGCGTATCAACAGACTACTAAAATTCCAGTTAGTCAAAATTTGCTGGATTCTAATATTTGATAAGCAAAACTATAATAAAAAAGCTGCAGCTACTTTTTCAGTACCAGTTTTAATGTTACACACTAGTGCTTAAAGGTATATGCTAGTTCTGAAGACTATTTTCAATTCTTAGTGACTATTTACTTAGTACTGAAATGATTTTGCTGAAAATTACAGCCAAATAAAGATATGCAAGGATTAGAGAGACATTCTACGAAGGTACAGGGAAATATACCGTATAAAATTATACTCAACTATTAAGTTATTGACCCCCAAGAGGCTTAAAAGTACAAGAAATATATCAGCTCACAGGCCATACATCTTTCAAGTTCTTGGGCTCTCTGCTACATAAGCAACCATCACTAAAAAGTCACAAGTCACTCCAGTACTAATGACTAGCTTAGAAGCAAGCATGGGGCTAACAGTCTGGAGATCCAAAATTCTAAGCCTGGCTTTGAGGCGTTCAAGCAAGTCACTTCACCTTGTATCAGTTTCCCCAACTCTGTAACGGATTAGTACTTCCGCACCTACCTCACAGAGGTGCGCTAAGAATTAAACAACATCTGGTAAATTAACTGGAATACAAGTGCTATTATAAATGCTACGTTATTAATTGCGTACAGCAAGAACACACTAAAGACAAAGCCATAAATAACTATGCTTGTTACTAACCATGGGCTGATCTTCATTAATGGAATTGGTGCACAAGTGAAAAATACTGTTAAGAGTAAGAAGGACTTTCGTCCCCAAACATCAGAGAGAGCACCTATGAGGGGGGCACTGAGAAACGATAACAAGCCCTGAAAAGTAAAAACAAATTTTAAATAAAAACAAAGAAATGAAAGAAAATACAATAGTTGAAAGATTGTTAGAAACTGACTGATTTTTTTTTGCAGATTAATGATAAATGTTGGCTATATGGAACAATATGTCAAGCAATATCTTCTATGAGTATCCTTCATCCCCCTTTTCCACTCAGCAGCAGTTACCTGCAATTTGAATTTTACTATCCCACAGAAATCCAAAATGTGAAATCCAAATGCAGTCAACACGCAGCTTAATAAAATGCACTTTGCATTTTTATATCCTGTATTTAGGAGAGATACCATTTTTCAACACATTGAGGACGTGTGGTCTAACAATTAGAGCAAAGGACTGGGTGTCAACAGGTATCTTGCATTCTTATGTGCTGTGACACCAACTGACTGTGTGATCTTGAGCTATTCAACTGGCCTATTTATTCCTCAGTCAAACCAAGTAAAAATTTTAGCAAAAGCAAGATCTTATTAAAATTAAGTGCTGCATTTGAGCTCTCTGTGGTAAATTTACCCTCACATTTTATTCACAGCTTGAAAGCTATATTGGAAGGCTCTCCTTATTCCACTTAATAAAGCATCAGCACTCATGTATGTACCCTTTATTGATTTATTTTAAATTGTATTCAATTATTGATTTAGACTGAATTTTCATCCTACCTTTACTCCTTGGATTAGGCCATTCATTAGAAATGTATGCTTTGGGAAGGTTTCATGTAACACCTATGAAAGAATTATGTGCATTACATACTGCATTATCCATATTTCACAATACTAAATATGAATACAGACTCAAAGATTAATATATCTGAGGCATATTATACCAACAATTTTAATATAAATTACAGTAAAATCCACCATGAAATTCATAAATTCAACATCAATAATCTCATTGTTAAATAGTCCACTACAGACATTTACATAGTAGACTACACAATTTCTAATAGTAAATTATGCTATGCTTCTTACTTTCCAGAAATAAAGGCACCAGTGGATAAGCTACAATGTTAGCACTACCGCTGCAGGTCAGTAAAACTAGGAAAGAACAATCTTCAAAATCAGTGTGTTTTCTCCACTTTTTACCACATAAGACTGGCGAAAATTTCATTAAGTTTGATAAAAGTATCATTCCTACTTCAATTAAGAGGAATACTATTGTAGGATTTCCTTATTTAAGGAAAGTACACATCAATTAGGACATGCTGTACTTATGTGATAGACTGGTTCAGATACCAAATAAACACTACTTAAAAGGACTTCAATATCATGGAACACAAAACTAGTACCACAACAACACAGGTAGATACTGCATGGTGAATGAATGTACTGCTCAGATGGCTTGAATACACTGGTTTTTTTTTTGCATACTAAAGCCTCAGCTACACCTACAAATTATATCAATCTAGATACAGCGCTCAGAGCTGTGCAAATTTTGTGCCCTGTGCAACATAATTAGGTCAGCCTACCTACATCTACAATGGGCATTAGGTTGACTGAAGTGTTTACAAGATAGGAACATTAGATTAAAGCTAAACACACTTTTTTACCTATAGATTTCAACACTGTAGCCATGTCACAACCCCCCCCAAACCATCACTTCCCTAATCAACAGAGCTATGCTGGCAAAACTTTTAAGTTTAACCCTAACCTTAATCTCTGTAAGCCATGGTGCACAATTATGGCATATAAACAAGAACAAAAGTTAAAAATCTCCTTTCCTTATATTGCAGTTTATCAGGATACAATATCTGTCCATAGACTTCAGGGGTGGTATCACACTTTATTTCAGAGAAGTTAAGTCATATCACTGACTGTAACATAAATGAATTACTTAGGCAGGAGTGAAAACATGTTTACAAAAGAGAAAGTTTCTGCTTGCCATCACCTTGTTAATTACCAAAGGTCAGAAAGACAGTACAGACAAATTAAAAATAACTCAGTAAATATTGTGCAAGAATGGCCAGGTTCAGTAATGATCCTTTAAGATCAAAGTCACAAAGTTCTTAAAATTGGGACTGGAATCCCACACATTCCTAGATCCTACTCTTGTGCTCAAGATAGACATCTGTCTGACATCTGTGGGGGTGACAGGAATAGAAGGTTTGAGGGGTTTTTTTTAAAAGTATTTCTTCTCAAAAGTGTGCAATTAGCATAGATTACATATGTTGATATGTGGCTGATATCAATAAGCCCAACTCTACATGGATTGTTTAATCTTGACCACATTCAGTAACATAACACACAAGATGTTCTTCCAAGTGTGAAGTTCAGGCCAGCTCAATTCCACCCAAACTTTATTTTCAAGTTTAATGCTGTGATAATACTGCAATGAACTTAATATTTTAGCTTTTTTTTCTTTTTTAAACTTTTCATGCAATACAGAAGTTCATTAACCACATCACTTACCACCAAAGTAGGTGCTGTCAAAAGTCCCCAAGCAAAAAACTCCAAAAAAATCACTATGACAGCATGGTAGACACTAGGCGAACCTATTCCTTGAGGCTAAAACACAAAAACAAAAAAGTTGTTACTACAGAATATTTAAAAAGCTGCTTTATTAATAAGAAAGTTGTTTGAATGTTGGTTTCTAAGCAAGAAATTGTTAAGATGAAGTATGGCTCAAAACAAGCTGTTTCAGGAATCCGAATAACTGTCTTGCATATGGTGAAGCATAATGAATGACTGGAAGTGTCTTAAAAACCAGCACTGTACAAACTGCAATGCCAGTTACCATAAACCTCCATGTACAGAGAAAACTCTGAGGAAAAATGACTTCCCTCTAACAAGATTCCACTATTTGAACTGAGACTCTTTTCTTGGGGAATTTCATATCTTTTTTCCCTCAGGGAAGGAAACAATTAAGTTCACATAGCAATTAGAAGTCAAAAACCAAGATTTAATTATTTCAAACCCCGCTTATTTTCACACTCAATGCCACATTCCAAATCCTGATTAACTGGCTTACCAACCACCTTTGGTTCTTACCAAACAGTGCTTCTATTAGTAAAAGCTTGTGTCTGACTAAATACAAAAACTTGTTGAAATAAATTATCTAAAACCCACATGAAAGAAAACAAATTCACACAATGGTAAGCCCACCACAACTTTAACGTGAGACTAGTATTAGAAGGTTTTCCCCAAATGCTGGGGAAAACAACAAATAGACTCAATATGCACATCAAATGTGGGACAGAGTTAGAAATGTTTCTTTATATTATTGTTGACTTAAGCTAAAAGTGGCTTCCAGAAAAGGGAATGTATGGAGATAGAAAGTTAAGTGTGGAAGGGATTTGGGGTGGGGACAGAAATCCTGATTAGGCTCAGATACTTTATTACATGCTATGTCAACTTGCCACAGTGCATTACTACCCATGCCAGGAAACACTGGAGAATTATTTCACAACAGAATGACATGAATGACCTGCAAATTAAAAATGCTACACAAGTGGACTGTTTTTTTTTTGTTTTGTTTTTTTTGTTTTTTAAAAGTCAAACGCTCTGCCTCAACACCTACTCTTTCAACCCTTAAGGGAGACTGGAGAATGAAGAGGCAATTCTCCGCCCTGAATTAGATTTGGTCTAGTGTGTTCATATGACTAAATACAAACAGACAAAGATTTGGATTTAACAGTGCTCAAATCTTATGAGCTGTTCTTGCAAAATTTCTGCCATCTTGAGATTTCTGCCACTCTAATTCAGCTATTCTTACAAGATTTTGGCTCCATCCAAGCCAGAAAAGTAAACTTTCTGGTTTTGCATCAGGTGACTTGTAACCAAAGCTATAGGAGCAGCTACTGGAACTGGTAAACTGCACCCACCACCCATTGAATTTGAACAGATTTGGAAAAAAGCTTTGTTTCGACCCATCTCTAATAAAAGCTTTATATTCTGTAATGTTTAGTGGAAAACATGTTTCAGAGTACTTTTAGTACCATGGTTACTTCTGTCCTTTTCTTCTTCCTTCCCTAGTTACCACACACATGCCCAGCATATTCATAAATATTCTTTTGCTACACTTCTCTGTTTTCCAATGAGCAGAGATGACTTTACAATTTTGTAAAGGGGCCAGAGAGCAGCTTGAACTCACAGCATCACCCATGCCTGCAGGAGCTCCAATGCCTGGAGGAGCAGCTCTAGGTTTCACTCCCATCACACCCTGACTACAGTACAGGATCCAAAGAGTAAACTTCTGTAACTACCACGGGCAACAAATATTCTTTTCCCTCCCAGGCTACAGATCAGCATCAGACTTGCTCCTGCACAATGGAGCCTCCCTCTCAGCTGCTATCTCTGCTTCCTCACTGTACCAGGGAGTAAAGCAACAGTTGGCAGAGTGGGGGTAAGAGAAGTAGTTACCAGCAGCTGCTCAGCAGACAACCACCTTATGACCCCAAGAGTCAGAGGTCGAGAGCTTTTCCAACATTTCAATTATGGGCAAGGCATGAAAAAATAACAGTTTCTCTCTACCCCACTGACACCTTATCTTGGGCAGGTGAGAGCAGGTCAAGGAAATAAATCAGGGACTGCACTGAAGAGCTTCACTGCTTACAGCAGTAAATATTTTTAAAGAGATGGGGGAAGATGACTACCCTTATCTGCCACTGCACAAGCCATAAGATCATTTAGCTGGATCTTTGTGCTAAAATGATCAGATATGAATTAGTGTTGAAATTTAAATCAATAGGCTTAAGCAGTAACAGACAACTGAGTTGACAGGAAGGGAGCTAACTTCTTAGAGCTACCATATCAGCTTCTCTGTCTACTGAATGAAAAGACAATACTACATTTAGAATATTTTTGTTGTAACCACAAGTACAAGAAACTTAATTTATAAAAATGCAAGTTTTAAGATTCTGCAGAACCTTGACTGTCATGGGATTTGATTAATACATCAAGTAGGCCTGGAGTCTGAAAATGAATTACATAAAACACTGTAGTAGTATGCATCAACTAAAGGAGAAAACACTAAATGCATTTCAAAACAGCAACAACATTTTTACATGTTCCACAAAAGAGATGTATTTTAGCTACAAACATTAAAGCCTAAAAACAAAAGTGTAGCTAAATACTCAAGTTATAACTGGGATCTGACACTCATGGTAGAAGCAGACGTTCTTTGACTTTATCTATTCCGAGCATGGCAGTTGTTTTGGGACAGGTGGCGCACTAGCTGAACTACAGAAACCCCATCTGCCAGGTCAGATAGGTGTCTTTCTAGTCCAAGAGGATTTTGTATTATAGATCAAGCCAGCGATAAAATAAACTTATATGTGGATCATAGCTAGAAGATACTTCTACTGATACAACACTGTAAAAACTCTAAAGCAAGGACAACTTCAAATGTACAATCATAAAAGCTGAGAATCCACTTGTTATTAATATAGTTTACAAACCAGAATAAGTTTAGAAGTAAATTACAAGATTTGAATTCTCCTGCTCTAACTCACCCTGTCATACCTAAGTATCATAGTTCAAATTTCCTTTCATCAGTGGTAATATATGAAGATATACCTATCTCATAGAACTGGAAGGGACCCTGAAAGGTCATTGAGTCCAGCCCCCTGCCTTCACTAGCAGGACCAAGTACTGATTTTTGCCCCAGATCCCTAAGTGGCTCCCTCAAGGATTGAACTCACAACCCTGGGTTTAGCAGGCCAATGCTCAAACCACTAAGCTGTCCCTCCCCCCCATGGTCTGATAAGAATGAGTATTGTACATATGATATGAATTGCAATAAATCATTAGAACAGGATGAATTAAGGAGAGGGTTTGAACTACTATTATTGCCTTCCTTTGGTGAGTCTACATCACAAGTATTTTACTAAATGTATTTTGTATTTCATTTATTTGACTATGGCTATTTAACAACTGTACAAAGGAGGATAGCACTCCAATAAGATCTTTATCGCAGTTGTACAGGAAGTCTACCTGCAGTCACTGCTGTAAGCATCCTCTTAAATTTAATCAGGACTGAGTTATAAGAAATCAGGGTTGACTGATGTTCTGCTATTACAGAGTACACAAGAAGCCACATTATTATTCCAAAAGACATTCCTACATATTGCCACTATACTCTAGTCTTTTTACAGAAAATCTCGCTGAAATTAATGGTGTAGGTACCTCTGCACCTTGTTTAGGAAAGTATATACCCCCACACTCTGAAGAGAGATTTGTGAATGTGCTTGGATGGGAAACCCAATCACAAAGCTAACATTGGGCTAGTGTAGCAGAACTGGAGAGGGGCACAGGGGAACCAGAGTAATAATGGTTTCAATCACTAGGGATAAGCATATACTATAGTAGACCTACAGACCTACCCTATCATGCATTTGAGCCACTGACAATGAATTCTTGCAGAGAAAAGGACTACTGAGTTTCTTTGGGGCTAAAAAGATTTCAAAATATAATGATTTTACCCCATAAGTAATTGATAAATTTAAATAGGCATATTTAATTTTTTTTTTTATTTCTACTGGTCCGCAAATCAGAGAAATTCAAGGCCCTTTCAGTTTACTTGTTCCCCAAAATATTATTTAGCATGTCAGGCAAGTGAGGAATTGGGGAGGATGAGAATAGAACTGAGGGCTAATTTACGGATTATTTTTTTTTAATGTCTACAGTGTGATCCATGCATCTAAGCAGTTCTTGCTGCAATTATAAAGAACATAGTCTAGTATAACAGCAGACAGCCTCAACAGGTCATTAACTCACAAAAAATAAAAAGTCTGAATACTCTTTCCCTACCTGGGTTTGAGAATAGGCACATATTTCCACAAACAGATCACAAACCAATATCTGTTGTCTAATGACTTCCCAAACAGTTGCAGCCCTGTTTTTTACTCCATGTTTCTATACATTTGAACTCAATGTACTTTCAAATGGGCTTGCACTCAGCTTTTAATACCGGTAACTGACGCTGAAGGCACTATTTAAGGTACAACTGGATGATACATTAAATCTTTCTCCTTATCCCTGGAGGCAGTTCATCCAAATGGAAATTAGAAGAATGGCACTTTTGTAATAACTCAATTTTTTTCCAATAAGAAATTCTAATTTCACCAGTTGTATGAACTAGTAGAGCATAAAAAAGTTACTCTGTCTGTATTCACTCACTATATTAGTCCTGTAAAAAACGTATGTGCCTACATGTTTGTAATGCCATAAGTTTTTACTTTGTAAAGAAATTACAAACAGTAATATTGGTCTTTCACAGTAGATATTTATCAGTCAAATTTGAACTTGCTTTGCCTCCGACCCCTAAGTAATCTAGACAGTAGCTCATCAAGTTGATGATGGCAGTTCTTGGCTGCTTATACAAAAGACCAGCAAACTGATGTTTTACCTTTATTTGAAGGACCTATCTTAAAAGCAATAATATGATTTTAATGCATTTTGAAAAGCTATCTAAACTACACGAGTAAAGCAAGACATACATTGTTACAGTTATTTTGACCAAGTTATACCTCTCTCATAACAGAACTATGCTGCTTATAGATGTATTTTTTTAAAAGCATCTATGGCAACTTCATTCAATCACTAAGTATTCCAAGTTCTGTTAGATAAAATACTTAACTATTTGTTGGGAAACATTTTCATCACACTTCCAGTGAACTGGAAAACCTTACAGTACTACTTTGATACAGAAGTTTGTCTCGCACTTACCCACCTATTCTTTTTCAGAATATGGAAGCCGAAGGAGACAGAACAAAGACCAAAGGATCCCATGATGGCGATGGACACACTGTATGGGTAAAGCACATCACAGATGGGCTTTTCACCAACAGCAGAACCACATCCTACTTATTATACTCAGAACTCCCTGCTCTATTCTACAATTCTAGGATGCCTGCCATCATCCTAGGCCATTGTGAAACCAACTGCTGTCTGAAAATGCACAGCAGTTTTCTAGGTGGTATTTCCTTTCAAGATTAAGAGTTTAAATATTATCTAATCCATAAATGCTGTAGACTTACACATATTTATACAGAATGGTAAATGCATGGATTTAAGTAAAGTTACTTTAAATTGAGTCGTGACACAAATGCTCATTACTCAAACTTACTACTTGAGAGTAAAGGCAAATCACCATACTAGGTATAGTTTAAAAGTATTTCTTAAATAATCTAACAAATGATGACCAGATGGATGCCAATAAGATAGAGAGGAAACACTTAATAGCAAGGAAACCGATCATGAAATAATGGCAAAAAAACCTGCACCAGCCCAGAATTCTTGATCCCACATGAGGCAGCAGCAAAGAACATAGTTTTAGTCCCTCCCACCCCAGGCTGCCAGCCAGCCCCACCAGGGAAAAAGTGTCAGAAGTTCTTTGGGAACAAAGTTCCTATGCCCAGTCCATGTGCTACCTTCAGAACACAGCATGGACCCAGCTCTGGTAGAAAGCAACCAGAGGGAGTGGAGGCCAAGTTAGGCCTCAGGTGAAATGTTCATCTGACTGGACATCAGAGGCATGAGCCCTTGCAACAGAAGAGTTTATAGGGTAGCTTCTTCCTCACAGGTTCCAGGTAGCTCCACCTAGAGCAGGGCTTCTCAACCTTTTTCTTTCCAAGCCACCTCCCAACATGCTATAAAAATTCCATGGCCTATCTGTGCCACAACAACTGTTTTTCAGTAGATTAAAAGCCAGGGCCAGAGTTAGAGGGTAGAAAGCAGAGCAGTAGCCTAGGGCCCCATGTCACAGGTGGCCTCGCAAAGTTAAGTTGCTCAGGGTTCGGCTTCAGCCTGGGCAGCAGGGCTCGGGATTCAGCTTTCTGCCCTGTGAGTCTAACGCTGGCCCTGCTTTCTGGTTGGTTTGTTTCAGCAGACACCCTGAAACCTGCTTACAGCCCCCACAGGAGTCCCAGACTCCTGGTTGATAACTGATGAAATAGAGGATCTTCCCACAAACTAGCAAGTAGAGACAATGTGGCATTGTCTCCTTCATCACCCCATTAGCTAGCGCCAGACTTCTGTCCCAGGTTGACCTGTTTTAGGCATTCCCCTCAAACCAGGGACCTACCATGCCAACTAGGGTTACCAATTTGATAATATTTAAAAACCAGGACACTTCAGGAGGCATGCTGGAATCCTCCCTGCACCTCTTTCCTTTCCCCCCCCCCCCCCAAAGCTCTGCCCCACCTCTTCCCTCAAGGCCCACCTCCATCCATTCCTCTCCCTCTCCCCCACAGAAAAGACTCTCCTGTGGAGCTCAGCTGGAAGCTGGAGCCGCCCAAGGCAGGTAGAAGGCAGCCCCAGTTGAGCAGGAGCTGACAGGTGCCTCTTCGCCTCCCCCACCTGCAATAACCAGACTTTGAGTGTCCAGTCAGTAAATCTGACCAGACACTATCAGGTCCCCTTACTGACCAGACTTTCTGGCTGAAAACCAGGCAGCGGGCCACCCTGATGCCAACCCCAAACTCCCTTACAGACCAGACAGATTCTCTGGGCACTTGAGCCTCAGGTGTCCACCTCACTGCGTTCGGCTTTTCAGTGGCCCTCCCCCGGTCCGGCTAGACTAGCCTCACTTTGCTAGGTCCGCCCCTTCCCAGGCCCAGCTCACCGAACCCCAACGCAACATGTCTCATCGGCTCCGGGCCAACCCCCAGACCGCACTGCACCAGCCTGTCCTCCCCATAGCAAAGACCAGTCCCCTACATGCACTCGGGCCTCACCTCACTCCACGCTCCCTGCCCCTGGTTCACTGGGTTAACCCAGCGTCCCCGCACGCCTCCAAGCCAACCCCTTCCCTCCAGCAAGGCCTCAACGCGCCCCCACACCTCAGCCGGACCCTCTCAGCCTGCCTCGCCCCGGCTGCCTTAACACTCCCCTCCGTGCCACAACCAGCCCCCGGCACGCCCCGAAGCTGGCGCAGGCCAGGCCCCAGGCCCCCAGGACTCACCGTGCCGCCGTCCTTAATGATGATCTTCTTGGCCAGCATGATGCTGCGGTTCACGGCCCGTTTCTTCTTCTTCCCCCCCTGGGTCATTTTACCATCCTAGGGCCCCGGGGGGGGGGGGACACGTTTGGCGGCGAGCGGCGCGGGGCCTTCCCCAGCAGCCGGGCCTTCGCTTCGCCGCTCCGAGCTAGCGCCGCCGCCGCTCACGGACCACACGCCGCCATCTTGGGGAACAGCACCGGCCACACTCACATCACGCGATCCCCCGATTGGCTGAGCGGGGGCACGTGGGCACGGATACCCCGCCTCCTCACGAGCTGGAACGAGGCAGCAGGGCGGGAACGCCTGACGGTGGGCGAGCGCTCTCCAGCCGCCAGCCGCTGGGGTTTCCCAGCTCTGCGATACTCCCGGCCGGCGCCCCAACTCTCCGCCGCCGCTTCCGCGGGGAGGGACGGCGCTCAGCCCCCGCAGCGCCTCCCTGTCGCTCCCCACCGCTGCCGAGGAGGGTTAACCTGCCCCAGGCAGGGACGACAGAGTGCCCCTCTCGCCGGGCTCCCTGGGGCACGGGGCTTGCGCCCTCCCCCTGCTGCCCCAGCAGCTCGGCTGTAGCGACACAGCCTGTTGCTAAAAGCTGTGTAGTGCAGACAAGCCCTGAGGTTATCATAAACCGAAGGGGTTGGGCCAGCATAGCTCACAAGCGCTGAAGATTTTTGTCCCTCATCCCCACCACACCCATCAACCAGGACTGACTAAAGTGGCTCCAGGCTCCTTGGTCTGTTTAAAAGAGCTGCAAGGCTGGGGGAGGGGGGGTTCATTGTCCCGATAGGCATGGAATGGGATCCTTTCCCCATGGGACCAATCCAGGTTCCCATTAAGCTTGATTTGTGTATAACAGACAAGGAGTACTACTACACTTATTTTTAGACATCATACTGTTGCATCACCCTACCCAAAGAACTGTGTGTAGCTCAAAAGCTTGTCTCAGTTGCCAACACAAGTTGGTCCAATTACAAATACTGTATTTTCTCACCCTCTTTGCCCCAGTACCATTTATGACAGCAGACTCCACCATCCATGGGATAGAAAAGCAATGGAATAGTATTGGCAAAATAACATTAAGAAATGGGGTTGAGACACCCGTTAGAGAGGATGTTTAAACTGGGTAGGAAATACTCATAATAGGTTTGGAAGTGTGGTTAAAGTTAACTAAACCCTTGTGTACAAATAGTTTTTCTACTAGTACAACTGTGTTGGCCAGGGGGGTGTATGATATTTAAAAAAAAAACAGTAGAGTTATACTCAAGGTGGATGCAGTTATGCCCGTATTAATGGGCCTTAGGAGAAATCTAATAACTTAGTGGTGTAGCCTGAGCTGACAACTTAAGTAAAAAGAATACTAAAAGATTTCCGGGGAGTTGATTCTGATGTCACATAGAATCACAGATTAGGGTTGGAAGAAACCTCAGGAGGTTATCTAGTTCAACCCCCTGCTCAAAGCAGGACCAACCCCAACTAAATCATCCCAGCCAAGGCTTTGTCAAGCCAGGCCTTAAAAACCTCTAAGGATGGGGATTCCACCACCTCCCTAGGTAACCCATTCCAGTGCTTCACCACCCTCCCAGTGACCTAGTTTTTCCTAATATCCAACCTGGACCTCTCCCACTACAACTTGAGACCATTGCTTCTTGTTCTATCGTCTGCCACCACTGAGAACAGCCTAGCTCCATCCTCTTTGGAACCCCACTTCAGGTAGTTGAAGGCTGCTATCAAATCCCCCCTCACTCTTCTCTTCTGCAGACTAAATAAGTCCAGTTCCCCTCCCTCAGCGTCTTCTTGTAAGTCATGTGCCCCAGCCCCCTAATCATTTTCATTGCACTCCGCTGAACTCTCTCCAATTTGTCCGCATCCTTTCGGGAGGAGGGGCAAAAATGGACGCAGTACTCCAGATGTGGCCTCAGCAGTGCCGAATAGAGGGGAATAATCACTTCCCTCGATCTGCTGGCAATGCTCCTACTAATACAGTCCAATATGCCATTAGCCGCCGTGGCAACAAGGGTACACTGTTGACTCATATCCAGCTTCTCGTCCACTGTAATCCCCAGGTCCTTTTCTGCAGAACTGCTGCTTAGCCAGTCGGTCCCCAGCCTGTAGCAGTGCATGGGATTCTTCCGTCCAAAATTGTCTGCACTTGTCCTTGTTGAACCTCATCAGATTTCTTTTGGCCCAATCCTCCAATTTGTCAAGGTCACTCTGGACCCTATCCCTACCCTCCAGCGTATCTACCTCTCCCCACATCTTAGTGTTATCTGTGAACTTGCGAAGAGTGCAATCCATCCCATCATCCAGATCAATTAATGAAGATGTTGAACAAAACTGGCCCCAGGACTGACCCCTGGAGCACTCCGCTTGATACCGGCTGCCACCTAGACATCGAGCCCTTGATCACTACCCATTAAGCCCAACGATCTATCCACTTTATAGTCCATTCATCCAATCCATACTTTTTTAACTTGCAGGCAAGGATACTGGGGGAGACTGTATCAAAAGCTTTGCTAAAGTCAAGATATATCACATCCACCGCTTTCCCCATATCCACAGAGTCAGTTATCTCATCATAGAAGGCAATGAGGTTGGTCAGGCATGACTTGCCCTTGGTGAATCCATGTGGACTGTTCCTGATCACCTTCCTATCCTCCAAGTGCTTCAGAATTGATTCCTTGAGGACCTGCTCCATGATTTTTCCAGGGACTGAGGTGAGGTTGACTGGTCTGTAGTTCCCTGGATTCTCCTTCTTCCCTTTTTTAAAGGTGGGCACTGTATTTGCTTTTTTCCAATCATTCGGGACCTCCCCTAATAGCCACGAGTTTTCAAAGATAATGGCCAATGGCTCTGCAGTCACATCAGCCAACTCCCTCAGATCTGGACCCATGGACTTGTGCATATCCAGCTTTTCTAAATAGTCCTTAACCTGTTCTTTCACCACTGAGGGTTGCTCACCTCTTCCCTCATACTGTGCTGCCCAGTGCAGCAGCCTGGGAGATGACCTTGTCTGTGAAGACCAAGACAAAAAAAAAAACATTGAGTACTTCAGCTTTTTCCACAGCCTCTGTCACTAGGTTGCCTCCCCCATTCAGTAAGTGTCCCACACTTTCCCTGACCTTCTTGCTAACATACCTGTAGAAACCCTTCTTGTTACGTTTCACATCCCTTGCAAGCTGCAACTCCAGTTGTGCTTTGGCCTTCCTGATTACACCCCTTCATGCTTGGGAAATATTTTTATACTCCTCCCTAGTCATCTGTCCAAGTTTCCACTTCTTGTAAGCTTTCTTTCTGTACTTAAGCTCACTAAAGATTTCTCTGTTAAGCCAAGGTGGTCGCCTGCCATATTTGTTATTCTTTCTGCACAGCGGGATGGTTTTTTCCTGTGCCCTCAATAAGGCTTCTTTTAAAAACAGCCAGCTCTCTTGGACTCCTTTCCCCATAATATTAGCCTCCCAGGGGATCCTGCCCATCAGTTCCCTGAGGCAGTCAGTCTGCTTTTCTGAAGTACAGGGTCTGAAGTCCATCTTATAGGACAGGGATAAATCATGAATGCAACTTGTGCATTAAAGTTGTGATATGGGCTGCAACTGCAATAAAAAATAAGGTATTCAAAAGTTTAACAAATGGAGGAGGACGGGGGTGCCGAAGACACTCCTGGCCCGTGGTGCCATTTGGTCTAGGGTCAGCTCTGGTCTATATAATCAATAATAAATAAATGGTATAGGGAAGAGAGAATCCTGATGAGCTTCAACATGGTATTAGTCTGATCGCTCGTGAGATTAGAAAACCTACAATTAAAGCTGTCCCCACTTTATTGTAATTTGATGCCATAAATAATTAGGCTTTTAAAGCTTTATTCTCCCTTTGATTTACAGAGATAACTGCCATTAACAGTAATGGATCTAGTGTGTGTCACACACTAAAGGGAGATTATGGACTCCTTAATCTGATGGAATTTGTTAATTTGAGTTCTTTTAACAAGATCACTAGAAGTACAGGACACTGTTCGAGCTGGGATAAAAAAAAAGTTTTCATTATTAATAAACTACATCACTAAACCTTTTAACAAACCTAATTGAAATACAGGCCCAAAAGGAACGAAGAAAAAAAAAGTCTTTCAGATGGATCTCTTTACTTATCTGGAGAGTGAATGTTTGTTAGATGCTTTGGCTGTACAAAGAGACATAATTATGCCAAAGCACAGAGACACCTTCTGCCCTCCAGTGTGCCTGAATTCCACTACAAAAGATAAAAATAAGGAAGGAACCATTTTTGTTCATTTGTTGAAAAACTGCAAAATTTTTTATCAAAATGAATGTTTTCATTTTGGTGGAAAATCCATTGTTTCAGTCTAATGTTTTAGCAAAAAAACAAAACAAAAACCCACCAGCCGTAGTGCTGATTTTGACATAACGGTCCTCTTTGCTCACTTGCCGGACATATAAAGCATCCCAAACCTTTCTGGGGCACATGCATCATTACCCTGAATACCTTTTTATAAATTGATGCTGCAGTACCCTTTATGCAGTGAAGTATACAGTAGTTCCCCCTTGTAATTTTATCCCACCTAGTTTACGGGAGGTAGGTGCTATTTTTATTTCTATAAATGCCCAATCCTTTAAGCAAAACAAACAAAAACATATAGTACTCAGGGCCGGCTCCAGGCACCAGCTTGGCAAGCAAGTGCTT